ATCCTGAACTCCACCAACTCATGGTCACTGCAGCCGAGGTTACCCCCCACCTTCACATCTCCTACAAGTCCCTCCCTATTTGATAGAACGAGGTCCAGTAGCCCACCTCTCCTCGTCGGCTCCTCCACAACCTGCGTCAAAAAGTTATCGTCGACGCTCTGCAGGAACCTCCAGGCCTGCTTGTGCCTGGCTGTGTTGTCCTTCCAGTTGATGTCGGGGTAGTTGAAGTCCCCCATGAGAACCAGGGCTGTGAGAAAAGCAAAACTCCAGAACTGAGGCGTGTTTATAGAGTATATTTTTTGTCACAGTTTGTGGGGAGAATCCTATTTGACTCCAGCTATCATGAGATGAGCTGCCCACTCCTCACTAAAAACTCGTTCCCACTTTGTTGACTGAGCAATGCTTCCCCGCCCCCAAGAAATAATATCGACAAAATGAATGTCAAAAGTACCAGCAACTTTTTTTTACCCTTTAAAAAGTATTTGACTGCATTTTAAAATTGGACGCTATGAGCTTATGTTGGTTTGTTATGCTTGTCTCCCTTCTTCCTTATCTTTCTATAGTTTAGCCGATAGTTAAGATGTTCCACTTCTCCCAGTGACCACAGCAAGGGTCCTGAGAGATCTAAGAAACACTATTCCCCATCCCTTTGAGTGCATCAGACTGAGAATATTTTCCCTCTATTTGGTCTCCCTTCCCTCCAATTATAACCTTCAGTGATTACTCGCAATAGTAAGGGTTGTTTTCCCCCTTATTGTTCTTTCATCTTTTATAAATGTTATCTGGCCAACTTGTGCCTAGTCTCTGAGCTCAGGTAAACAGTTGACTTACTGTAGCTTAAAGAGTTCCTGTGAATGACCTGAGTCACATTAACTGCCTTGCATGTGGCCTTGTTTTTTTAAATCTAATGGGTAACTTGTTAAGTCATAGCACCTCAACACAGCTCTGTTCTAAGCAGTTCTAAGAACCCGATAGTAACACACTGCTGCATTTCGGGTAGCTTGCTATTTGCTGATCTGTTACTGTCTTAAGTTATATGCTCTTTAAGTGTTTTCATGTATCTTCTACTGAGGGTTGATATTTCATTCAGCATCTTGCAGGAAGTGCTGTATTCCACTCATTCCTCCTTCCCCATCCTCTCTGTTTCAGTGACCCAATGCCTTGCTGCTAGAAGGCTCTCCTTTTCCATGGTGAATCCAAAATCCTGGTCCAGCAGTGATCAATGAGCTCAAAGGGCCCTGACATTAGCCCTAGTGTCCTGGTCACATTCCACACGCTCTGCCTCTGTTGTTTCTGTTAGATATGGTGGACTTGCCTCTCCCAAGCTGCTATTCACATAGTGTTGCTGAGAGCTGTTAAATAGGTGATGCATTTCACCCAAGGTTTAGCCAACTTCTGGGTGAAGTATTCCCATTATAGTCTGTAAATCATTTTGCAAAGCACTCTGCAGCCCTTTGTAATGCAAATTAATCTGTTATTAATCAGTGAAAGTATATGTGGCATACAGCAGTCATGCACTTAGTAAAGGACCCATCCCTTTATGCATGAAGCTGAATAACCCATTCACAGAGGATTCTTCTTCAGTGATGGATGTGCAAGTAATGATGTTTGATCCATCATAGTGGATCTTCAAAATGAGGGAGCCTTCTTGAATAACAGGATCATTTTGAGAAGCAGAATGGAGAAATACAGTATAAAACAAGAAAGAAGAATCATTAGCAATGAATATAATTCTGTTTGAGGAGAAATGTATGTTAAATTGACTAGATGCCTGATAAGTTTTTCCCATTTCAGCCTGTAGCTATAGAAATAAGTTTTGGGGAGTTGTTAGATTTTGTTTTGCACATGTGATTGGTGTTTTTGTCGGTGTGTTGTTTTTTTCAATAGTTGGTGTTGGTGTTAGTTGTTGATAAAACTGTTTCTTTCTAAGGTGAGTCGTAATTTTGAGCTGGTTGGACGGGTTAATTTGAATCAGCTGGAACAAATGAAGGGGAAAACAGAGAGCTCCAGCAGCGACGAGGAAGAAAAAGAGTTAAGCCTCAAGAGTGGAGAGAGAGGTCAGTATAGCTGCTTTTTCTTTGATAGTGGATACTATAATGGACCCTGCGAGTTCATCAAGCAAGGTCAGCTGTTGACTGATTCCTTTAGAGTTGTGGAGGAATGTCAGTAAGGGCAAGAGCTTTTGTCAAGATGCTTCCTGGGAGAATCTTGTTTCTAATACTTATGAGTTTTTTGGCTATTACTATTAACTGCTTGCCTAGTGCTTACAAAGCAGTCCTTCCTTCTCCTTTGTTGAGAGTTGGTTCTTTTACAGTCGCTTTGGTTGGCAAAACTGAAGCCAGGGAAGTTCCATTTCATAACTTCAAATCACTGTTAAATTGTACACTTTAAGTATGTGCCTAAATCCATATCTATGAATAATATCACTGACTTTAGTCCATGTGCTTGCTTAGACTCATTGTTCAGGTAGTTAGTTGAGTAGGGAAAAAGAAAGGTAGTCTTTGGTGAATTGGTCTGTGGGCTTTTTTCACGTGTGTGCTCCTGTGTTTGTGGGGTTTTTTTTTCCCCGCTTATTAAAATCAATTTAGTGCAAATATCTGTTCCTGAGAGTGAAATACTCCATACATTCTCACAGCCTATTCTATGGTGCATAAATTCATCAATCAAATACAATGTCTGTAAATCTTGTTGACTACTAGAAGGAGCATGATTTGAACTAGTAAATGCAGTGAGCCTTGTCATACCTGATCATCAGGTTCCAGGGGTCACCCAAACTCTTGAAGCTGACTGTAGGTTGCCTAGTTTCTATGTACTTATAACTGTATTTAACTGTTCAAATGGGTGATCTGCAAATCATGTTTATTTCCCAAATTGTGTTTCACTGCTATTCTTTCCTGGCTTCCATTTAAAGTGACTGTGGTTAATTATTCTCCTTTTCAAATAATATCAGTTGTATTTTTTAAAAAACTAGATTGGGTATAAAATATGGAAAGTGCTTATGCTATCTACCTTTATAAAAGTTCAAGTTGTATTGGCTTTTTTTTTTCCTTTTTTTTGTGAAGTTATATCTTGCACCTTATGGTGGTAGTCTACGGATGCAGGTGCTAAAGATATGACTGTGGCTGGATGCAGAGTCAGATGTTAACATAATCTTCTAGTTGATTTTCAGAAGCTGCTTCCAGTTCAGAAACTAGCATAGGACTATACCCATGCTGTTAAATATTGTCTGTCACAGTGGCTAATGCTGTCACCGCTTTCAAACTGTACCAAATTGTAATGTCCTATACCACTTGGATGCTTTTAGTCTTCATGGTGTTGGCTGGAGGTGAGATTTACCTAGAGTGTATCTGTCATCTCTGAGTATGTGGGAGGAAATGCAGCCTTGACCCTCTGAAGTCCATGACTTCAGCAGAGTCAGGATTTCTTCCTGTGAGTCAAACGGCAGCCTAGATTCATAGCTTGAGACTGATGCTTGATATATTTCAGGTGCATTCTTGCAAAGAATGGGTTGTTGGGATGCTGGACCAAAGAATCATTATTCCTTCTTGGAGATGGAGGAGTTGGGCTTGCCTTATTAGGAGAGCTGAACTGCTATGTCAGGTGTGAACGTTAAGGAATGGTTGGTTGCTGGTAAAGGACAGCTGAAAATATATGGATATGGAAGGAAGAAGGTGAGGGTGGAAAAAGATCAAGTTATTTGTTTGAGATACTCCAGGAAAAGAGCAGCTGTTCTTGCTAGAAGTTGCATCCCTGAAGGACTGCCTGTCTTTGCTGACCTTTATATCTTGCTCTTAAAATAAATGTGAATCTTTTTCTGTGTTGTTGTTGTTTTTCTGCAGTTAATAAAAAATTAGTATGCATGTGTGTAATACAGGAAAATCAAAGGCAGATCAGGTGTGTCTGCAACGTGTTACCCCCTCTTTACCCTGTCACCCTTGAACAGCTCAGTTCACTTTTAGGTATTCATATTAAACCTTGTCTGTTCATGTAGATGCCTAAATGGGAACCGCACTCCATTATTTTGAAAGTCACCATCCCCCCCCCACATGCTTCCATATTGTACTTAATTGATCTTTGCTCATACTGGAGGTTATGGAATTTTTCACACCTTGACCTTTTAGGAGGGGGAGGACATTTTTAAAAATATCTACATTAGTTGAAGAAAAAAATCTTTTTTGCTGCTTAGGGATACTTTTTGCCCTAATACTGATGAGTTTACAGATAATTTTGTTGTCTCACAGATTCTATGAAGTTTCCTGACAGCAAAGCTCCAGAGAAGCGCTTTCCATGCGAGTTCTGCGGACGATTGTTTACAGAGGGCTCTGAGTGGGAACGACATGTGCTGAGGCATGGCATGTAAGTTGATTTACAGACTCCTTTGAATAGCATCCAAATATAAATGTGATGGTAGATCTTTGTGCATTTAGCCATATATTCTTCCCCTTCCTGCCCCCCCAAAAAAAAAAAACTGCAGTGAAAATAAATGCAGGAATATGACAGATTATTCTAATGAGGAAAGGATTCTGTCTACCACAAGCATTGTTGGATATAATTCTCAGATATATTTACACAACTAGATGCTCCTGCTTGTCCTGTTTGACTCAGGAACCCAGAAATCCAAAGTACCTGTTGATTTTAGACTTATACCTGAAGCTCTTCATATATCCAACTACCCTTCCAGTTTCAGGTCTAGATCAGACCTCAAACTGAAAGAAACAAGAAACATTAATCCACAGATGGTCAGGTGGTTCAAGAAGGGGCTCTGCAGTACAAGAGGGATGTGGAGCTGCTGGAGAGAGTCCAGCACAGGGCCACAAGGATGATCAGGGGCCTGGAACATCTGCTGCATGAGGAGAGGCTGAGGGAGCTGGGCCTGTTCAGCCTGGAGAAGAGAAGGCTGAGAGGGGATCTAATCAGTGTCTATAAGTACCTCAAGGGAGGGAGTGCAGAGGATGGTGCTGGTCTCTTTTCAGTGGTGGCCACCGACAGAACTAGAGGTAATGGCCAGAAACTGAAGCACCAAAAGTTCCACAGGAACTTAAGGAAATTTTTCTTAACAGTGAGGGTGACAGAGCACTGGAACAGGCTGCCCAGAGAGGTTGTGGAGTCTCCTTCTCTGGAGATCTTCAAAACCCGCTTGGAAGCAGTCCTGTGTTAGGTGCTCTAGGTGACCCTGCGTGTGCAGGGGGGTTGGACTAGATAACCTCTAGAGGTCCCTTCCAACCTTAAGCATTCTATGATTCTATGAATACAGATCATCTTCAGAAATTCCTTCCATTTTGGAGTTAAAATCTAGTGTTATTAAATCCAAATATAGCACATAAATGTTCTTAACTGTGTTCCTAAAGCTTAAGCATCATTCCAACCTGAATATCATTTTGTTGGCACAAAATTAACATTATCTGAGTCTACTGTTGATGTTTGCTTACCAGTAGAGAAGCATGAAATTAACAACAAATTATCTGGATTTTTTTATTATTTTTATTTTTATTTTTCCTTATTATTTCTTTTTAGCATGTTTGTAACTAAACTCAGCGTGCCAGTGCAACAAATTATGTGCAGAGAAGTGTCAAGGCCTTCAAGGGAAGGACAGTTCTTTATCCTCAAAAAAAGACAGCGAAGTTAATAGCAAAGATGTTTGCCTTTCACACTTGTAAATATCAGTCTATGCTGTAAAATGATAGGCATCTCTGGAGCATTCATTTTCCTTCTTTTGACAAAGATCTGGTCAATAGAATGGATGTCTTTGACTGGAGTTTCTTCAAAGAGATCTCAGCCAGGATTACTGGCATATGGAAGACATTGAAGTGTAATATTGTAGCTAGGCTGTGGGAGGGATAAAGGATATGAGAAAGTATTATTTCTTGTCTGCTTAAATAAGAGTACTTGAAATGTTGCAAGTTATAATAAGATGTATTGGTTTATTAAGTTTTTCTACTGCTTGGAATTTCAGGGCTCTGAATGAAAGTAAGCAAAGGATCAGAGAGGACAGCAAGCTGAAGGAGAACGTGGAAGAGAGTGTTAATACATTGATAGTAGAAGAAAAGGAAAGCATTGGGAAAATGGTGGTGGACTTTTCCCAAAACAATGAAACTGCAGTCAGTGTTGTAGCTGCTGACAAACCTCTCCAAGAGAACTCAGAAGCCAAAAATGAATAAGCATTTGGTGTGATTTTAATAAACTTAGTTGAACAGTGATGAATGGGGTAGGATGGGCAGAAGGAAGAAACAAAGCTGCTTTTAGGACTGAATGGTCTATTTTCAAAGCACTGGTACCTGTGTGAGTGTGTGTATATTAAAGTTATTTAAATGATGGAATAAGTGACTCACATTACTGCATCTGTTCTTTTGGATCATGACAATGGAAAGTTACATCATCTTGGACTAATGAAGCAACTCCCTGTGTCTCTACATTACACAATGTGCTTTGCAGTAGAGACTTGGATTGTTTGCAAAATGAAGCATCATGAGCATGGAGGGGGGATAACTTTGGAATGCACAAATTTGAGTGTGTTTTTCTAATTTTAATAAGTTAGAGCTTTCCGGACTGAATGCAACTGCTTTAGAAAAGAAAACAAAAACAGTCCAGAAACTGCTTTTCCTAGGACCTCAAAATTAACAAAGGGTGTTCTCTGCATTTGTCAGTACTGCCTATTGTCATTGTGATTAAATGTAGAGAGACTGCTGGACAAAGTTGTGAATGGAGAAAGAAAAAAGTTTCAAAGAAAGGAAAATAAATTGTGCTTGAAATCCCACTGTGGGTTTTATTTCTTAAAATACTGTGATTTTTTATTATTATTATTTTAGTTTTTAAAAAAAGAGAGAGATTGACTTTAATTTCTAGATAACTGTTAGTAAATTGCTATCCTTTATTCTATGTAAGCTGTTTGTTAGTATTCAACTATAATTTTAGGATTTGATAGATTTCATGTGACTGATTGTGTGGTTTTGTTTGCCATATGTTTATTTCTTATCAGCTTGAGGTGTTAGAAAAATAACACAATTAACCCCCTCATTTTACATGAGAAATTTTGTTTGTTTTCCCAAAAAGGAAGTGGGACAGGGAAAAAGAGTTCTGCATATAATTTTTCTAAATGTTAAACATGCAGAAATTAAAAAAAAAGAAAAACTTGATAAGTAGAGAACCAAACTTATGGCATAGCTATGCAGCTTTTGGGCCAAACATAGTCTTCATAACTGTTCTGTTGCTTGTTATATTAAAATCTATGTCTTGCAACAGTAATTTTCTGTTAATGTTGCCGCTGTGTTCCCCCCACACACACACACCTGTGGTATATGTGTATATGTGTGTGTGCGCGCACACACACACACACTCTTTTTGTTTTGATATGGTGAGAGGAAGTAATGTCTGTTCTTGCATCCTTTTGCAAGCAGAGGTGAAATAGTTACAGACTGCATTGAGCCTGGAGAACTATTCTTACTTGAATCAAGGTGGGAGTTGCTATTTTTTTCACTTACTCCTTAGCCTTTAGCATGAGGGGAGCAGTATAGAATGAATAGGAACCCACATACCTAGTGGTTGATCCTGCACTTTTTCTTGGGTGGAAAGCCTACCAAAGTCAGCAAGAATTTTGCCTGAACAAGGAATACAGGATCTGTTCCCATGGTATGTTCTGATTGTGAACAAAATTTTATTTCCCAAAAAAGTAGGAAGTATTTGACTAAAACCTAATTTTAGAAATGCATGTGTCTTTGTGTCTTTTTTTTTTTTTTCTCTTTTGAGGGGAGGGGATGACACACGCCAGGAAGCTGATGAGGAAATAGTGTTACAGACAGATTCATCAGATTCATATAAAATTAACAGTAAAATTTGCATTTGTGGAATAAGCCCTACTTGACGCATGATGTTTTGCTTTTAAAGATTCATCACTTGTGTGTTTGCAGGATTTGGGGGGAGTTTTATTGGGGGGAAGGGTTGTTTTTTTGGAGGAAGGGAGAGAGAGCATCATGCGAAAAATACATTAGAGGGACAAGTATAAATACACACTTTGTGTCTGTATTTGTTTTTCAATTGACTTTATTTCAAGTGTGCTTAAACAGTTTCATACCTCGATTGGGTGTTTGTAATAGTTACCAAAAATGAAATAAATTATTCTGAAATGCTTTTATCACTACTTTATTTTTCAAATAATATGTAAATATTGTAACCCATTGGATTTTGTTTTGCTAACTTGTTAATAAAAATATGGGAACATTATCCTTTTAACAAGCCTAGAATGTCTTCCCCCCCCCCCAAAAAAAAAAGTATATCTGATATATTGTGGACATGCATTTAAGATGCATTGTTATGATTCTGTTGGCTGTAATGATATAGAATTGAAAATAACATCTTTTCATTGTTTAATTTATACAGAGGACTTTTTCAGAACTTGGCAGAAGGAAATGAATAGCAAAAATGCTAACCCATTGCCTTCAGCACTCAGCATTTCCTGACTTTTAAATTACTGATGGGGAACAGGAGGGGGATCCTGAACTGTTGCACTGACAGGTTTGTTCTCTTTTAAACAATGAAAACGAGTGAGTGCATGTGTGGAGTTCTAGACTGCCTACTCTGATACTCTGATAATGGAGCCTTAGGAATATTTGTGACCCTTTTTTTGGGTATTTATTCACTTAATAGTGGTGTGAGGAACAGAAGTGTTCGCCCCCCCGCCCCCGGCTGGGTCAGAAAGACCTTCCCTAACTCATACAGATCTGTAGAAGAACAGGGTCCAGGTTTATCAAGTCTTGGGTGACTTGCTGTTAGCTGACCCTGCTTATGTGTGGATGTGGGTATGGGAATGTGTGAGTGGACTAAATGATGTCCAGATGAGCTCCAACTCCAACTTCTCTGTAATTCTGTGAGATCTGATAGGTAATTTTTTTTCATGAAAAATACTTTGAGTATTTTATTACCCTAATAGGAAATGCTTCCTAAAAGTTATGTCCTCCCTTTTATTTTAATGTCATTCATAAAACAAGTTTTACATGCATATAAAATAGTCTGTTACGAATTCAGATTGATTCATTTCAGTGAGGAAGCTTAGGAAAAAAATGAAGTCAGATGTTGGAGTTGAGAGAGATGCTTTTCTTCTACTTCTCAAATAACTTGACTCTTTGAATAATTGATATAAATGCAAATGTTTGATTCATGAATCAACGCAGCTTGATTCATGAATTCTTTATTGAGTTTACACTTCCATTAATGAAGAGCTTAGCTTAGTCTAGCCAACTGTACATGAATAACTTCCAAATTTGTGAAATGTGCCTCTTTGTAGTTGTTCTTTTGTGCTCTCACTACTGTTTAAAGAGAAAAATGTAATTGCTATCTATGCCTCATTATCGTAGCTTTTTTTGAAAACGTTGGAGTGAAATTTTAACTTTTCTCAGCAACTGAAGGAAGCCATGTTACACTACTGGGCCAAATGATTCTTCTAGCTTTTGTGGAGTCATTTTGGACTCAAGTCATTGAAGAGATTCTACTAAATGTATGCTAAGTGATGCGTTAGTTCTGATCCAATAAAACCTGTAAATAATTAGAAGGCTTGTAAAGCAATGAGTCCTTTACATGTTATGTCAAGAGAATATTGTCTTCTATTTAGCACTCTCTAGGATCTTAGCTATGTGATTGATAAAATGTGATTTAATACATAATAATCTAATGCAGAAAACAGTAAGGATTTGGTTTCTTACAGGTAAATATGCAGCTTGAAAAGAAAGCTGCCTTCACAAAGAAGTGAAGTCTGAGCTGTCTTGGTACTGTTGCAAGGTATGTTTTTCTATTGCCTCTTGTATTTTCCTTTTAAACAAACAAACTTTAAAACCTCTGGATTACACACGTAATTACATAAACAGCTCCTGTAAATGGAATCTGTTATTTTTGTGGTGCAAAATACCCCCAAATTTGGGCTAGAAGCTTTTCTTCCCTTTAGCAGCCACGCTTACATAATGCTTTTCCTTACAGACCTCAAAACAGAGGATAAAGTGAGATGTCATAAGTACTTTTTTTTTTTTCCCAGTGCCGAGGCATGACAAATCCATTTTTGTTCTCTCCCCATTCGATCCTGTTCCTGTCCACTAGATCACACTGCTTCTCCAATGGCTACTGTTTTGTTTTGTTTTTTTAAGGTAGTGATGCTGCCATCTTGACTAATTTCCCAGTGTCTTGAATAACCTTCATTAAATCTATAATATTTAGACTCCGAGTCCTCCTGAAAAAGTTGAGCAGCAACACTTGTACAAGTCCACATGCAAAATTCCTAAGCCTTAATTACAGTCCAGCAATAGATAAGAGCTTAAAAGTAATTGTAATTGTCCCCTGTCTCCATTTCATGGACCCCTTTATAGAGGATCCAGGATATTTGAACAGCTAGTTCCGTGCCAGACTTATAATGATTCCTTAGCTGATTTTGCACCTCTTCTGGTGTTACCTGACTGTGACCTTAGATGTTTTTTTTTCTCTGCAAAACTAGAGTATAGTGGAAATTTTCTTAACACTAGATGAACAGACAGTGAGGTGGACTGAGAATTGGCTGAATGGCAGGGCTCAGAGGGTTGTGGCCAGTGACACAGAGTCTAGTTGGACTCTGCCTATATCTAGCAGTATATATCTATGTATATGCCTATATCTACACCCGGGGTCAATACTGGGTCCAGTCCTGTTCAACTTAGTTATCAGTGACATGGTTGAAGGGACAGAGTGCACCTTCAACAAGTTTTCTGGTGATACAAAACTAGGAGTAGTGGTTGATATACCAGAGAGCTGTGCTGCCATTCAGAGGGACTTCAACAGGCTGGAGAGATAGGCAGAGAGGAAGAATCATAGAGGATCCAGGATACTCGAACAGCTGTTGCTGCTAATTGAAGTATTCCAGTTATTTTAATTCTCACTTTTTCTTTATATCAATGTGTTGCACAAAGGATGCTGAAAAAAGTTCACATGCACAAAGACTTATTAGTGGAGTTTGTAGCTGATACATTGACTCTACATTCACTCTAATGGAGAATAGTTACTTTAGGGGGAAAATAAAAACAAAAGAGGAACAAGACAGAGACAGGAAAGGGTAAACTCTCCTCAGTGGCCAGCCAGGAAGAGCAGAGACATGAGATCCCCAGACAAGTGCTCTTCCCTGGGCATCCTCTCCAGTGCAGCAAGCATTTGTACTACCACTACTACCACCCCCCACCCACCCCAATACTTT